GCAACTTATTAGTGATTACAGGAAGAAGCAGGGGACCAGAAAGCAAAAATCCCAGGGCGGGAGGAGGGGGGGGCAACTACGGAGACCTGAGACAATCTAGCACCAAAACACATCTTCTTGGAGCCCTTGCTACAGGCGCTACAGTCCATGTGTGGCCACCTGCCTAATAACAAGCTCAGGAAGACATTGTCAGCTGAGGGTACAGCACTGCCTGACATGACACAGCAGACAGCTTCCGTACACCTCAGAAAAACTTGGCCCTGCCTCAGGATTTACATTACAGGTCAACAAGGTAAGAGATCCTCTACTTCAGCTGCCCGAGCCTGCCCGGGAGCAGAGGGTCCCCACTGGCTGCCGTGCCGCCCCGTGCCTTAAGGAGGCTTTGAGCTTTGTGCTTGGGACTGAGCTGCTGTTGTTCCTCTGCACCTCCCTTGAATCCCCCTAAGCCAACACCCTTTGCTAAGACCGAAAAACATTTTCCAGACGCAAGCATGTGTACGTATGTGGGTGGGTGGGGTGCAGGGGACTATGAAAATTTCAAGGGGAGGTATGACATCCTGGCTTTCTAAATATAGAGGACCTGAACTGCGGCTTCTCTCACACGCTAGCAGCGTGCTTTCTGTTTCGAAAGGCCCCCAAAGCAAATATCGCACTGGCTGGTGGCGTGAAAAAAAAAAAAAAAAAGAAGTAAAAAAAAAAAAAGTAGTCCTGAGAGCTGATTACAGTTTCCAGTGCTCTTGTACAGAGCTGTTTTTCAGGCAAAGCTCCAAGTGGTGCCCACACAGAGCCGGCCGGGCCAGCAAGGCGCAGATGGCCATCACGTGAAGGCGGTGGCGGGAGCAATGGGCTGGTGGCAGCCCCAGCGTGGGGCCAGGACCCAGCGGTGCTTCCCCTTTGCCCACTGGTCCCTGTCTTTCCAAGGGGCAGCAGGGGAGGGAGAGGGGCACAAAGCACAGCCATGCCATTGGGACCAGGTGCCACCTCGGTGCCTGGTCGGACTGAGAATGTGACGTTTTGGCTCCATGTAAGGTGCTGCGTCTCGGTTCCCTTTTCATTGCCGTTATTGTCGCTCTGGTATTTGCATAGCACGACATCAAAATGCCTCAGAGCCATAGGAAAGTGGTGGCTGCTACTTCTCCTTTTAAAAAACAAGCAGTTATCCACGCAACACCATCACTGTCTGCGTGTGCTCGGGGTGGGGGAGCCGTCATGTCACCAGGGGGTTATAGCCTTTGGAAAAGTTTTGCAGAACTGAATTTAATCGAGACTGATGATCTCTAAGCCAAGCTATAAAATCCAGCAGAGAGTTATATCCCAGTAATAGACCCTATTAGAGGGTCTAGCACAGTCTTTAGAAAGGATCTCCTCTCTATTAAATTCTCTAGGGCTTGAGTTCTCATTTACACAAAGGGCCCTTTTAGCTGTGTAAAATGGCCACAAAGTAGGTGTAAAAATGATTGATGCTGTCTTTACAACCCCTTTACACTGTGAAAACAGTGTAAAGTGACCAGGGTGCAAATGAGAATCACACCTGGGTTTGTGAGAGTAAATTACATAGAGCCCTTGTGCGTCCATAGCAGTTTAATCCTACTCCATTCTGTGGAATTCACCCAGAGAATAAATTTCCAGGACTTAAAAAAAAAAGTTCTTTTCTTCAGCACTTCTGTCCTTTCCGAGCCTTTTAGTCCCAGGCTTTCTCCTGGTGCAGTTCACGTGGACTCTGACACTGGGAAAAGGCTGGGAGCTGTCTGAATATGTTGTGGTAGGTGAAAATCCTTTAATTAGTACTTTCCAAATTCTTGATCCAAGCAAAATACATGTTGTAAAACCATACCTAGGGGGAAACCAAATGCTATCATGTCCGTTTCCCCATCTCTCCTGTGTTGATTTTATATTCTTGAGTTATATAAAGAGGAGAGTTAGTCTTTGCTAGATCAAAATGCCCAATATTTATTTGTTAAGCGTTACAACACCAACAGAATATATGACGGATATTTCTTGCTTCCAGAACAAAGGGTTAAGCTGCAACATGCGGATTAGTGACCCGAACTCAGCGGCAATGGCTTGAAGTGGAGGGTGTGCTTGGAGGTGCACACCTTTACAAGCAGAGAGGGCTCTTGTCCAGGTCTCCCTTCTTTTCCCTGTCACTGCACTGAAGGCATTTGCAGCGACACTGTGATCATCACCGCCATGTCTTTCATGTTCTAGAAGAGTTCCAGCAAATTCAAGGCCGGGGGTGAGTAGGGAGAAGCCAGGCAACGTGAGCTCAGCCCCATATAACGAGGGCTGGCCTCTGGGAGCCCAGCGCCTGGGAAGTGATAGGAGGCGGGGAGTGAAAACACGCGGGTGAGATGGAGGTCAAAGGATTAAGGAGACAAAAGCCCAGCTCTGGTGGAAACGCCACTCGGCCAGGGCCGGCCAGCCCTCTCCAACAACAGCTCATGGCTCCCAGCCTGCACACAGCGCAGCCTAAGCTACAGAGCTGCAGACCAAGTTATCTTCTGGACAACAGGAAAATTTGGAAATGGCAGGGTGGGAAGCATGCCCTGCTCTGCCACCAGAGCCTTCTTGCTTTGCCAGCTGTCAGGGTGCCTGCTGCTGGCAAGGGCAGGAAGAAGCCACAAAAATCATCTGTCATTCAGCCTTTCCTTAATCTCTTTCCCACTTCTTGTTATCTTCTTCACAGAGAGGAGAGCCCACATCTTTGGCTGGAGGGAGGAGTGGGCGCAGCGAGGTTCGTGTAGGTGGGAGGCAGGTATATCCTCTGCCCTAGGCTTCCACAGAGAGCACAGCTGGAGTTGTGTGAGGGATGGAGGACAAACCGATGTCTGAGTACAAGCAGCAGGTGAGAGGCACCCCTATGTATCCATCTCATATGCGAGGCTGGCCATGGCACAGGTCCATGAGTGCTGCTTGCAGCATGCTCTGCTGGAGTCAGTGGAGATGGGCTGGTTCCTGCCACCGTACAGACGGCCCCACTGATGCCAGTAGCCAGGTCTTACATCGCCAACCGCCTACACACTCCACTGCTGTCTCAGCTTTCTCCAAGCATGCCTGTGAGCCAGGCTTAGGAGTTCGGATGGGTTGTGACACGTAGGCAAGCGAACAGGCACCCTTGCAAATGTGCCCCGCAGTCATGCTTACTAGTGACTTATTTTTAGATGCATAAAAAAAGGCCATTTGGAAGCTGGTCTCAAAAACCTTCATTTTCTGAAGCTCCCCACTTTGCAGCTTGGCAGGGAGGACCTTGGTGATGCTATGTCTACTCTAGAAGCACTTTCCATGAGAAAAACTCGAGCACGTACACCAAGTAGGTGGACCAAAGGAGACTTAACCATGCTGTGATATTCTGACCCTGGAGGTATGCCAGTCTAGCCCTGGGATGATGTGTGATCACCATATGGAAGACAGGTTTTGGGTAGGATTAGAGCTACTCAAACAACTAGCTTTTTGCCAGGCTGGCTTTTTGATTTCCTGGTGGCTATTTTTGCTGCAGAAACAGAAAGTTTTTGCTTCTTTGAAGTCTTACAGAAATTTTATTTGCTTCCTCCTTACTAATGATTATGGCACAGTTTTTCTGGCATGTGATTGCTCCACCCCACCTCAGAGACACCCTTGCTCTGGCGGGGATCAGGAAATCCCTAGTCGTCACAGGGCGTGAGCACCAGCTGCCTTGCCCTTGCACAGATACATATCAGCAGGCAGTGCAAAACACTGCCGATTCAGAATTGCTCCTACTTTTAGAAGGCCATGCTGTGCAAGTGGAAATGACAGATCAAGGGACAAACTGACATACTTGTCTCCGTATAAGGCTAATAAGATGTAAAGCACTTCTAGAGCCACACTTTCAGGGTGAAAAAAGCACTGTTTGAAAGTGGCTTCTTGTTCTATGCTGCTTATTAAGAAATTGTTATTCTTTTGCCCTCATCACTATAAACAATGTCTTTGGGAGACTGGCAGTCTCTTCTTGCTTCCCTCCCTCCATGCCATTTTAAAAACATTCATTGTTACAGGGACATATCTTTCAGGGCTGTTGGCCCAATTCCACTGCTGGTGTGTAAGTCTGATTGCCTTCAGAGGAGTTACACCAAAAGTGCATTTGGCCTTTTGTGCTTGGTGGAACTGGCTAGACGCCATGTTTGGGAACCTACAATTACAGCAATGTCAACATAGTTTTCAACATGACTAGTGATTTAGGGTCCTCCACTTTAGAAGTGCAACTCAAAGTTTCTTAAATTGATCTTTTCTCACAAAGTGCTGAGCACTTCTACTTCAGAAATCTGTCTGGAATCTCAAGAAGGGCCCACCAAATCACCATTAGTCAACCCACTCATATTATTTATTAGTAATCAGATTAGGTAACCTATATGATTAGTCACTCTGAAAAGTATTATGTATATTTTACATGGTAGTTGTCAATATATTCATTCTGCTGTTGGTCTCAACCTGCATTTGAAGAGGTCTTGACCTCCTTTATTACGTTTCTGTATGGTAAATACCCATCATGTTAGCACAGATTATAGCCAGAGCATCTGAGAGACAATATATTCCCTAAGCATGATCAGCATAATTATAATTAAGCAGTTTGGACCAGATCCTTATCTGGCAGAAACTGGTATAGCTTCTCTGAAGGCAAGAACAGATAACTACCAGTGAGGGAATATGGACCTTATTTCTTAACAGCTGTAGCCCTGCAGATGAGTCCCCAATGATTTTTTAAGCTCTCATTTTGTCTATGGCTATTAAAGATCCTCTTTGGTGAGTATTTGTACAGCTGCATCTTTAGGACTTTGTGACCTCTTGACAGTCTCACAAGGGATCTTTTGCAAGAGCACCCATATGAAATGCTCTTAAAATGATTGAAAAATATATTCATTAACTCTGTGTGAATGTTTTTCCTTGTCAAAAACCTTATAAACACTCATCCATCCATGGTGTCTATGGTGGCAATGTGCTGACATTTTCCATTCCCTAGCTACAACCCCCCACCAGCCCAGACCCTACACTTTCTCTTGATGGCCTTCACTAGCAGTTAAAGGGTAGAACCGAATGCCCACATAAAAGACCTGGTATCTGTGTTTCCACATCACGAAGCATGCCGACAGACACACCAGGGCTGCGATGAGATTGAGAACCATCTGCAGGAGTAAGTACAGGTTGAGCGCACTGGTGAGGCTGTCACAGTCAGCTGTGTCCTGGTAGATGAAGGTCCTACTGAGAGGGTCTGCAGTGTCCAGTTTGCACTGGCAGGAGTCAAGGATGGTATCGCAGGTAAATTTTGTCATCTGCAAATAATGGTGTGCAGCAAAAGCCACTGCCAAAACACAGGCAACTAGAGCCAGGGCACTCAGGAGAAAATACATGAGCTGAAAGAAAGAAAAAAAAAAAAAGAAAAAAGAAAAAACTCATTTTCCAGCTACACAGCACAGAGAATGAGGAACACAGAACGAATGCATGCACGTGTATATATATCACATGGAATGCAGGCATTCAATGGGCTAGTGGACATTGTGTGCTTTGGAAAATTGCAAGGCAGCTATAACTCCCTGGTGATGCAAAGTTCAGCGGGTCATCTCAGGAACTAGTAATTCTGCCTTGCATATTTTATATTAGTATTGCCTTGCAATTTTGAGACCTGATAAGAGCACCAAGAAATCTGTATCTCTATACAGCCAGAAGCTTTAGAGAGAGGGAGGGGGCGTCCTCCTCTGCCACTGTACCTGCATTGGCTAGACTTAAAGTCATCAGATGAGATAAATTAGTCCAGTTGCCTTGAAGCAGAGCTGAGGCTTGAGCTGACATCTTATCCCAGGCTGTGCTGAGAAATAGGTGTTTTTGAAACTTCACTTGTGTGTTATTCCCGGCTCTTGGTTTGCATGCCCAAACAAATCTGATTTATACTTGCAAATCAGGCAGCGAGGTGGCTGATCTCCCACTTGTGGCCCTGTGAACGCAGGAATGTAAATCTCTACAAGAAAGTGTGTGCTGTGCTCAATTCCCTTCCAAAAGTTGCCCTATAAATGTGAAGGAGAAGACTTTCAAAGGTGTCAAAGAGCAGCGAGCACCTTTCATTTCCTAGTGCTGTCCCTGCTATGGCATGAGAAGGACAAGGGACTGTTTGTCAATCCCCTGCTCCTTACACCAGTGGCAGCTTAGGAATGTAAATCTCTACAAGAAAGTGTGTGCTGTGCTCAATTCCCTTCCAAAAGTTGCCCTATAAATGTGAAGGAGAAGACTTTCAAAGGTGTCAAAGAGCAGCGAGCACCTTTCATTTCCTAGTGCTGTCCCTGCTATGGCATGAGAAGGACAAGGGACTGTTTGTCAATCCCCTGCTCCTTACACCAGTGGCAGCTTTAAAATAGGGTGGCTTTTATCAAGGGTCGCTATGCAAAGTCCACCCCCACAAATGCATAGAAACCGGCAGCAACTCAGAGCCTTTGTCATTCTGGGTTGCACCTGAGACCTTTGGATACCAGAGCATATGGACTTCTCTTGCTTTTGATAGCTGGAACTGGCAGTTGCTGTGCTGCATAAAAAATATGTGTAAATGTATATTAAAGTCATATATTGTGTTTAGCCAAAACAGCATTTTTGGTTCTGTTCAGCACTGTAAAAACATTTATTTTTCTTGGCGTCTTATCTGTCAGACACATGGCATGGTTGGGAATTTGTTATTTTAAACAGCAGCTTCTCTCTTTCTCTCTCTCTCTCTCAACCTCAACACCACAAGCAACCTATCAATATAAAAGCATTTTTTATGACCTTGAAAATCCAAGTATGTATGTCTTGATAAAATTCACACTCCTGGTGTATTTGTCTTATATCTACAGTGTGAATCAATCTTCCTATTCAGTTGCTAGCTTGAAAAAAATATTTGGACTTATTGCAGATCTTAAAGCATATATACATTTTCTCGCCCATATCACTGAATTCTTAAAGCAAGGTCTTCGTTTCCAAGACTTGGCTACTATTAAATTTAATGACTTCCCCTGCAGCCTTAAACTAAGGGTAGCTTCAAAATGAGGGTGGCTCTTATTAAATGCAATTACTTTACCCCTGCAGATTTCCAGGTAAAGGTCCATGGGAAAGGTGAAGTTGGAAAATAGGGACACCTCCTCATACAAAGCACACAGAAGAAATAGTGCTACTGGCTACTACCTCCTAACAAAGGTGAAGTAATCCATAAGCCAATGGCACTACTTTAAAAGATGGTCCAAATGTGTTTGATGGGGAAAACAGAAAATGGACACTGATGACCGTTCATCTTCTCTGAGGGATGAAAATTGTTCTGCGTTGTAGAAGTCCTAGTGAACTGGCTGGAAGTCTCTGGATTCAGATCAGCAAAAGACAGAATCAGGCCTCCCTAATAAATGAGGTATTAAGCCAAGTCTACACTATGTGTCTGATTCTCCCTTGGCAGGTATTTTATTTAGCTGACAACTTCTATCCAAAGTCAGGGCAAAATAGCATGAAAACCACAGCCTAAGCTACACTCCAGGTACAGTGAGCTAGAATTTGCCTGTTGTGTACCTAAAGGGAAGGAAATCTCAGAATCTGAATACACAGACAGCTCTTACAGCAATCCTCAGAGGCGAACAGAGATCCGTGGGGACATGGGGCATTTTCCAAACAGCTTATTATTCTCACAAGATGTGAGCTGCTGAAAATGAACACATTTCCAAATATCAAAGGTGAGGCAAATGCAAATGCTGCCTTTGAGGGAGCACAAGACAGCGGGTGCTGAGAACCCATCAGCAGATTAATCACATGCCAGACCTGGAGGCAACTTCAACATCGCAAATACAACTGCAGAGTGAGCTCTGCCCAGGAACCAGAACTTGCCACTGGAAAACTGTTTTTTAACAGCCTCAGAGAGATAGGCACTGTGATTGCTGTTTAAATAGAAGGAGAAAAGGGAAGCGGGGAGATACAGCATACAGTGAGGTCAGAGCATGGCAGCTCATCCTCCTTCGAGTTCCTCATATGAGGAAGAAACATTTCAGCAAGATTTAGTGGTAATAGTTTTGATCTGTGCTGAAAACAAAACAAATAACCTAAGACGGCTCAAGTTCCTCATGGAAAAGGCTCCTCATAGTTATCAGAGATGGAACCAGAGGGGTTTGCAGATGTAGATCCAGGGGACCTCTTTTGAAGGTGGTGGTGGCTCAGGCGCGAGCCCGTGCAGGGAACAGGAACTGCGTTGTGTGTCACAGCTGGGGCTGCTGGGGCTGGGTGGGCAGGAGTGGAGGGTGTCACGCTACTGCGGGAGATGCCACGATGAGGAGGACAGTGAGAGATTTGTCAAATATTAGCAGTAGCCCAGGAAGTCCATAGGAGATCTCAAAATTTTCCTGTGTGGTTTGGTTTTTTGTTGTTGGTTTTGTTTGGTTTGGTTTGGTTTTTTTTGCCAAGGGAGAGGATGTCCCCTTTTAAATACACAGGTAACATGCTGCTTTGCCATACTGCAGAGCATGGTTCCTGCAGACACAGAGATGGGCTAGGGGCAGAAATTCAGCCTGGGACTTGCCGTTGTCCCCGTGAAGGGTAAAGCCACGCTCCCTTTGGGTGGTGGGCTCCCTTTCTCATGGGACACACAGGGTGCTTCAGATACCTGCAGGAGTCTCAGGAACGGACTTCTGCCGAAAGCAGTTCTAATACCTCATTTTTTAACAGGATCCAGAGCTCACACAAGTGTGAAATAAAAGAAGCAGCTGTCAAAAGGGAGGAAGGCAGAGAGGACTGCATGGGTCTCCTCCCATTTCCCACCTCGAGGGAGTCACTTGCAGTGGTCAGATGGTCACCTTGGGAGTTGACTAAAATCCCTACAGGCCTCTGTGCATGTGGTCCTGCTCCCAAAGTGACCCTTGGGCTATGCAGGGGATCTCGGGAATACACTCCAGGGAAGCCCAGCCAAGATTCTCTTGTAGCGTGTTGCTTGGCAGCCTCAATGGGCACCAGTGTGAGGGCAGGGTCTGGGCTGGGGAGCAAGTCCCCAGGGAGCAGGTAGGGATGAACTCAGCCACAGAGCTGGATGAAGCATCAGGCCCCTGAGGAGCAGTGAACAACCCAAGTTGTTCAGCTTTGTCTCATGATTGTAGTTTTGCATCCTCAGCCTTGTCACTGAAGAGCTGAACTTCATTTTTTTTGTTCAGAGACAGACTTTAACTGACATTTGAAGATCTGAGAAGTGACACTGGAGATTTAGAAGAGTCCTGTGTGATCAAAGCCCTGCAAGAGACTCTTAGCTCCTACTTTGTTTAAAATAGGTACGTGCCCTGCAGCCAGAAGCTGTTCATCTGGACAGGCAGTGAGGAGGGGAGGCACTGCGGGATAACTGTTCCCAGTGGGGACATGGGACAGGAGAGGTAAACAGCCTGGGAATTATCAAGTTTTGTGGCATGCTGCTGTAGGAAACATCAGGAAGGTGGATCTTGGGGAAGAGGATGCTTTGGGTAGGCAACAGTCCATGGGCTATTGACTGAACCAGAAGTCTTCCAAAGGAGACTTTAATTCTGCCAGGTGATCAGGAATAACCCATTTGACCTCGCCTGGGGAGCACTTTAAAAATGTTTATTTTCTTGCAGGACCGATGGCTAATGTTCCTCACTGCCAGGGTGGGTGGTGTAGCTAAGGGTGGCAGAGACATCTGAGCCGCCCAGCCCGACATGCCATTGCCACCAGGAGGGATGACTCCCTTCCTGCTTGGATGCCAAGTTCAATTTAATGCTGCAGGGCAAGCAATAAAAAGCCTGGCATGGCAGGTCCCGCCCAGCCCAGCAGCTCCTGGGGAAGCCATAATGCTGACTTGCGGGTGTAAAGGTGACACGACAAGAATGTAAAGGCAATCGAAGGGCAGAAACAATGGTTCTTCTTCTCCCTTTTTAAATGTAAGTACGGGAGAAGCTTGAGAGAGGCACAAAAGACACACTGGGGTCCAATTTCTAAGGGAGGATGAATGCCAGGTTTCGAAAAGCTGCTCCTTGCATTTGATTTCCTTCTGCCTTTCCCCGTTAATAATCACTGTTATTTTGTGTTGCTTGTGTTGGTATTTTTTCTTGGTTATTATGTGTCTGTAAAATATTAAGAGCCCTGAAAATTACAATAATAAGGAAAAACAGCCCAGGAAAAAATGGTGATAAAAATGTCCCATCTGGAGCAAGCATTCTCAGTCTTTCTTTTCTAGTCAATTACTAGTGTCAACAAAGCACAGTTTTGGGGACCAGGGTGGGGCATGGTGCATGGTTTATGTACCTCTCTTGTGATGCTCAGATAGGAATTTGCTTCATGGAAGAATGCTTGTCCCCATGGTTTGCTAACACTTTCCCATGTTCACTAATGCCCGACCCTGACACAAGGCACCATATGCAGAGACACGGCTGCTGGTGCTCACGTACAGCCTCTTTCTCCCTGACCATGGAGCCAGGCACAGAGATTTACAGCCATGCTTTTTAATTTGCCTGTGCCCACGCAGTTTCTTATTTCATGGCGAGTAACAAAACTGTGGGGAAGATGCTGGGATGCTTCTTAGAGCATATTAAAAATTAAAACTGGATTCAGGTGGACCCATTTTATGCAACCCTACATCTTACCCAGCTCTCTATGAATTGCTCTATTTAATCAGTAACCCCCAATCTCTCACTGAACGCTTGACAAATTTTCCCAGCTTTGTTGATCTGAATCTCTTTGATATTCTCAAAACCTTGCAAATAAAAAGGTATCTTGCTCTGATTTGAAATATTTGTTATGAGAGTTTCCCCTTTATAGTCTACAGTTTCTTCCTTAGCTGCCTGGAAAATACTAGAAAACCATTCTTGCATTTCAGGTGCATTTTCACTTCTTTTCATGTGGTCTTAAAACTATCCCCAGTATCGACTTTTCTGATTATATTTAATGACATGAGAAGCAAAAGAAAAAAAAAAGTCAAGGTACCTTTACTGTGAACTGCACGCAGGTCTTCTCATCAGGTTGGTACGAAATACAAAGCATAACAAATCCCACTAAGGCCACCACACAGACCTGCAAGGGAAGAGATTTAAAATGTGTCAAAAAAAACCCCAAAACAAAACCAAAAAAACCAACCCAAACAGACAAACACAAAAATACTTTTTTTTTCAGGTCAAAACACCTTTCTGTGTTAGCAAGACCATAACTCAAGGAGCAGAGTGTAAGCCAAGTTGCTTGAGTAGGGGCTACAGCCATGCGTGTAAGAACCTCCTATGTGTGAATGCACTTGTGAGGAGGGAAGAGCTTTAACCTTCGCTTTACAGACACTGAGTCACAAAAAAATTATTTTTTCAATCAGACCTACAAAGACACAGGCCAACAATAGCATCCAGGATGCATTTTGAGCTTTTATTCATGTAACTAACTATCAAAAAGGAGCAGAAACCTTATGAAGTTGGGCTTGCAAGCCCCAAAAGCACCATCCTATGTACCACTGGATGTTGACAGGGTTTTTATGTCACCAGTACCAGTTGTAAATCAGCAACCATAGCTGATGCTGGATAAGAAGCAGCACATTTTAGAGCAGAGGCTTTCAACCTCTCCTAGACTGGACACCTTACCAAAGAAGACATCTCCCCTGCAATCTGAGGCTGCATTTTAGCCTGTAGCAGTAATTGCTGATGGTTAACAGTAAAGGAAATGTATTTATGCACTTTATTATTAATTTAGCTGCCTTTCTTATTAATTCTGAAGATTGAGATTTATTTGAAGGAGCAGATATTCACTGGTAGACATTTTCCAGCCACATAAGGAGGGATGCTCCTGCTCTGAGGAGCAAGCCCAATAAATACAGTTTCCTTTTTAAAGTAGTGTTATCTGGGCTCCCCATGGTGCTATGCACTCCAGTCCAGTGTCTTTCTCTCCCCTGTTTTTGGAAGACCAGCGAGCAGACAGGAGGACACAGGAGCCACAGGTCTGCAACCAGACTGCTGCTTCCTGGCAGCATCTCCCGTGCCGGGACAAGAGGAGCCAGTTCCCCAGACACCCGGTGAGGGCTCCCTGTGCCACCACGGGGATACCAGGGTCGGATCAGGGCACACGAGGAGTCCTGACTGCGCCCAAAGAGGGAGGGGGTGTTGTTGGCAGCTGGAGGTATGCTTGGAAGAGTCTGTGCATATTTGGGTTGCCTTGAAAAAACAGGTGCATCAATGGCATTCATGTGTTTTTAAATGCCACTTCATATCACACCTTTAAAAAAGGCCCAGGTGTGATGAGCCTTAGTGAGGACCTTAGCTGAGATGAGCCAGCATGCTTTCAAAGGTGCTAGGGCTTGTCTTCACACGGGGCTGGGAGCAAGCTTTGGCCTCCTTGCTAGGAGCATCTTGATTATAAATTATAGCAATTAAATTCCCATTGACTACAGTAAAAATATACAAATATTTTCACCCTTCATTTTACTCTGGGAGTTTTGAAGACCTCATTGATTTGAGGCTTTCTGCTTTCCCAGAGCCGTGGGATTTGCTCTCTCAGGTCAGACCCCGGTGGCGGTGGCCTTTGCTCAGGGGTGGGACTGCACCATGGAGACGCCTGCAGGAGCATGGGGCTCCTTCACAACCCTGTCCCCACCTGCTCCCTGCATTCAACATCAGTGCTGTTCACATCCAGATTTCCAGCTCCACAGGGAACTGCTTGACCCGCAGTGAAAAATAACTGTCCTTTTAGGCAGCAATGGTTAAACGCATTTCTTTTATGATCTGATGCATAAAATAACAATTGCTTCTTTATATCTGCATTGGTGGTGTAAGGCATTAGACAGAAGCCCTGTAAAGGAAGAGTGCCTCTCAACACACAGATAGTCATGTCCCTCAAGAACCTGGAGGATTAATAACACTTTCTCCCATAAAGTTTTATTTCATGTCATTTCAGTAGGACATGAATAGGAAGTATTGCCTGAAAACATTTCTAAAGAAAGCGTCAGTATTATTTACTCCTTTCCATGTCATGTGTATTTATATTCTGGTCCTATGACTTACATACGGCCTCCAATTTATTTGTTTTCTTCTTTTTATTGTTGACAGCCATAGCTGACAGGGTTGTCGGGGGAAAAAACAACCTTTCCTGTCAAAGGTCCTTCAGTGCTTGGTTTGGGTTTTTTTTGCCCTATAGTGCTTCTACGTGACTCAACCATGTTTTATTTCTCAGGATTAATCACCTATGTCCTTGGTCCCTTGCACTGTGTATTAATCTTTTAATTCAATTAACATGCTCATAAAACTTAAATCTTAAGGAGATCATATCTCTAGTAATATCCAAATGACAAACTCCCCCAGTGACAGTAGTGGCTGAAGGAGAGAACTTGCAGGAAGAACTGAAAAAAAAAAAAAAGCTGAAATACACTCACTTAATGTTAGGTCCCCAAATTCATGTGAAATCACAGGGGCTGCTCATGTCAAAGCTAGACCTAAGTATTTTCAGGATCTGGTGCTGAAGGATCTTGTTACAAGCAATAAATTAAATTTGCTTTGCTTCAGTTACACTAGTGGCCATTTACACTTGCATGAACCAAGGGCCAGATCTGCCTCCAGGTTACTCCCATGAGACATCATGGGACTGCGCCAGTGCTCCCATTCCCATTCCCCTTTTCCCACAGAAAACTGACAGACAGAGCTGCATTCATTTCCAAGGGCAGAGCCAGATACCAATGGTGAAATTTTCTCTCTACCATCAAGTGCCTCGTACAACTTCTGCAAATAACCCTGCTGGCTTTCAATGTGGCAGGATCAGACCTCCCTCTTCAGAAAGCTTCCCATACAAAAGACTATCATTTAAAAGGATTTCCATTCCTGCATGCGCTTTCTAAAGTTCCTCAGGGATTTAAATAATATACTCAGGGATACCTGAAGAGGCACATTTGTAGACAGGTATTTATAAAAGATTACACTGGGTCAGGATACTGGCAAATCTTGGCCAGGATACTTCAGAAGGCTTAAGTATTTCTTTTATAATAATATACCAACAATTTTTTTTTAACCAGAGATGTGTAGTTTTTGTAAATGATGGTAAAAAATCATGTTACTGAGAATTGTGACCTATATATATTTTACATTTCAGTTCTTTAAAGGTAAATTCGCTCATTGGAGGAAACCGAAGTGTGGAACATTCTCACAGAAAACAGCTTTATGCTTCTATTTTATATATTATTAATAGATCAGTTTTGAATTATACTTGTGAAGTGTATTAGAATAACTATAAAAATCCTCTGGTAAATATTCGGTAGGACCCACTAAGTGACTAAGACAGCTGCATTACAGCAGGCACGTTATGGATGCTGTTGATGCTGATTGCTAAGCAGCATTAGGTAATCCTGTGTCCTAGTGCTTCAATAGTCATTGCAAAGTCCCAGTGTGAAGTATACATTTCCTATGCCTTATTGACTAAGCACACAACATAAAATGCAATTGAACTTGCTTTAGCACTTGCTTGCCACCAATCGATATGCATTTGTTATACAAGTAAAACACATTCTGTAAGAGCTGCAGAATAGCAGTTAATTAGATCAGCTCTTGTAACTGTTATCTGGAAATCTAGAAATATGCATTTCTGTGCTGAGTAAATTTCAACTCAAGTTTATTTCAAGATCATATATTTCAAAATTTTACAGATGGGCTAATATATCCTTTGCTGAATAGGTAGGGACATGAAAGGTTATCCAAGGAAATAATTTAAATTTAGAGAAGTACAGCCTCGGAAAAGACCCAAATGTATTTAGGAAGGGTATAGATTTAATTTTGGCTAAGGCATACCCTGTGAAAGCCCTCGTTCACAATCCAGGGAAAACAGCTGGCTTTTTTTTCAGCGCTGGCTTAAAAACTTAAAAGTTTATGCTCTAGAAAGTTTCAATACTATTCCTTTTTAGAAGAAAGCACTAGACATTCCTTCCATTTTCAGCTTTCAGGGCTGAAAAGTGACTTAAGAATTAATTTTTTTTAAACCCAAATCAAAACGGAGTAGATATTTTCCAGGTTGCTCCCATCTTAAAAGAGGGCTAGAGCCTGCTTTCATGAGAACTGAATGAAGATCCTACAGATTTCAGTTTTTTTTTGAATGGGACCTGATCCGAACCGCATTTAGGAGTGGGTCCCAGGTGATTCACCTGGGAGGATCCCTGAACCCACAGAGATCTAGGGCACAGTCCTTGGCTCTTCAGGACTTTGGCATACCAACTCTCCCTGTATGTGCACACAGGCTAGGACAACTGGGGGTTTCTCACAGCTTGAAGCTTCACACACTGCTGCAAAAAGATTGGTTAAACAGTGAGACTGCAACTGTACCACAATGCATGTTCAGCATTGCAAGGAGCATGCCTTTACATATCTTGATCATCTTAAAACCAGAGCTCAAGCAGTACAGAAGAACGATCTCAAGTTTTGTGTAGCCAAAATCCCTCACCACCAGCTTTACTTCAGCTGATCTCGCCATGCTGAAGAGCTCTAGCTGCCACCAAAGCACAGCGGGCTGACACCCTGCCCAGCACAGTGCTATCATCCCCCACACTATCCAACCCTGTCCCTCCTTCTAATCATGGAATCATAGAATGGTTAGAGTTGGAAGGGACCTTAAAGATCATTGAGTTCCAACCCCCCTGCCATGGGCAGGGACACCTTCCACTAGACCAGGTTGCTCAAAGCCTCATCCAGCCTGGCCTTGAACACATCCAGGGATGGGGAATCCACAGCTTCTCTGGGCAACCTGTTCCAGTGTCTCACCACCCTCACTGTAAAAAAAATTTCTTCTTAATATCTAACCTAAATCTACCCTCTTTCAGCTTAAAACCATTGCCCCTTTTCCTACCACTCCACTCCCTGATAAAGAGTGCCTCCCCATATCTCCTGTGGGCCCCCTTTAAGTACTGGAAGGCTGCTAGAAAGTCTCCCTGGAGTGTTCTCTTCTCCAGGCTGAACAACCCCAACCTCAGCCTGTCTTCATACGAGAGATGCTCCAGCCCTCTGATCATCTTCATGGCCCTTCTCTAGACTTGCTCCAACAGGTCCATGTCTTTCTTATGT